GGGTTGTGGGTCAGAAAAGAAGGGTTGTGGGTCAGAAAAGAAGGGTTGTGGGTCAGAAAAGAAGGGTTGTGGGTCAGAAAAGAAGGGTCGTGGGTCAGAAAAGAAGGGTCGTGGGTCAGAAAAGAAGGGTCGTGGGTCAGAAAAGAAGGGTCGTGGGTCAGAAAAGAAGGGTTGTGGGTCAGAAAAAAGGGTTGTGGGTCAAAAAAAAAGGGTTGTGGGTCAGAAAAAAGGGAATCCCATAAGATACACAGACATATAGATGCATTAAAAGGGGGGGGGTGGCAGCCCAGAAGAAGTGGTCCTTTGCAAGCGAAATACCCGGTCCAAGTCCAAGACCAAATGTATTAACATGGTCATGGTGATGTCCAGGACGACCTGAGTCCAGGAATTTCCTGCAAACGAGCTGGTGGTGTCAAAGATTGTCTTTCACTGGACTTCTTGGGTGTATGGAGCTGTGTGGCTGTGGAGGTTGGTGCCCCGGTGATCCTGTGTAATACGTCACAAGTTGGTCCCCAGCGGATGGCCGCCGGGGTCCTTCTGCCGACCGTACCCACCGCACGACTCGTGTGCAGCTCGAGTGCGTCGCGCGCGCGAGGCTTGCGCGGTAGCGACCTTGCGCGACCGAGGAATGAGTGGTGGGGCATCGTGGGGAACTGTGAGGTGGAGTACATCATCATTTACCTACAGGCCTGACGGCCCCTGACGGCCCCTGACGGCCCCTGACCTGACTGGTTGAAGTTGCTGTTACCGATTCTGATGGCAAAAAAGCAAACTCTGGTAGGAAGAGGAAGCAGCAACGGTGGCTTTTTTGGTTGATTTAGTGCCAAGGGTTCGGTTTTGGTGCCAAGGCATGTCGGCCTTCCAAAACAAAACTGGAGACCCTCACCACCTATGGCCAGAGACACACCCCAACCACGAGAGAGAGAGAGAGAGAGAGACACAGGCGGATGGACTTGGTGGTCTGGACGGCCGTAGGGAGCATCTCGGGGTGGTGAGTCTCATGCCGCGCACGGTGCGCGGCACACGGTAAGCGCCCAGCTCCCGGCGGAAGCGCTTCCGCGGACCTGGGTTGAAGCCCACCTCGTCCGCTTTTGGAACGGAGCCCAAAGACACCGTCAGTGACGCGTCAAGTTACGGCGATGTGGCCAGCTCAGGGGCCCGTCCAAACTGGCCAGCTCAGGGCCCGCGATATATACGGGAATGGAAGATACGCACGGGCGTGAACCGTTCACGCTTCCGCTCCCCCAAGGTTATTTTTTCACAGCGTCTCGACCTCTGTGAAGACTCGGCTCCACTTGAACTCGTTGTGAAGACTTGCGCTCCGACCGAAGTGACGGATGAGCGAAGTGGGCGCCGCAGGCCTGTCAGGATTTCCAAAAGGCGTTGCCCGCGGAGACCCAGGCAGAGATCGCCAAAGGCAGGATGGTGGAGTTGGGTGGATTTGGGTGAACTCAGATTTGTAGCTTGTTCATGGGACACGGCTATGGGGCCAGATGGGTGTGTCTCAAAACAGGGCGGTGAAGAACAGAACAGGGTGTTTTATGGTGTTTTTGTGTGTTTGGTTGTTGTTTGTGTTCAATCAGATTTTTTGGAGTGATGTTGAGTGTTGGAGATCGTTTTGACTCGAGTTCCAAGCAGAGTGTGCTGTTTTCAAACCAATGCTTACAGGTCACGTAGTCCATGTTTGGCTCAAAAGAGTGTGACACATCTCACCCGGAAAGCTGGCAAGGAACCCAACCCATTTGCTTCCTGAAAAAGAACATGAGTGGCCTTTCCCAAAGGTCCATGCTCAGCTGGTTTTCCCCGGACTTTCTCCCCCTCCAGTCTATATGGGTTTCAAGATCTGAAAGCCAAGAAGCACTGCTTGCATGGACTGACTCATGGGTTGGACTGGAGGCCTCGTCAAGTGACCAGTGGATCTGGAGGCCTCAGGCCTCGTCCAGTGTCCCTCCTTTAGGCAGGTGGAGTCAGGTGGAGTCAGGTGTCCTTGTTCGGGTCACGTCGTGGTGGTGGTGTGGGTCACGTCGCGGTGGTGGGACCGATTTCCGGACCTGATCACACCATCAACCTGGAGGTGCCTGGGTTGGGGTGGTCAACCCTTCCTCACCTTCCGAAGCTTCCGAACCTATATTCCACACGGACCATCCAGAGGTTTTGGGTTCCGTTGGGGGGGGTTGACGTGGGGACCGAACCACATCGACCTTCAGACGATCAACCATGTCCCAGATGTCGTGCCCGCTCACGTGACAGTTCCATGCGAAGATTGCCCACTGACTGGTGGTTTTTGGTGTTTTTTCCGTTGTGGGTCGACTGCGATGGGAGCACCACCATGGGGTCGCGATCTTTTTTATCTGACGGCAGTTCCACGATCTTCAGGGGTCGCGCAAAAAGGGCACAGGCCGGCCGAACTGAGCAGTTCGGCATTCGGCATCGCCTCCTTCAACTCCCTCAGTCCGACTCAGTCCCCTCAACGCATCGAAGATCTTCTGTCTGTGGGTCCGCTCATAGCGAGCCGCTTCCCCAACAGACCGGCCAGGGTTCCAATCCGAGGTTTTGTTGAGACCTGAACGGACCCAAACATCATTTGTATATACATCTCATGCAGACTCTTGATGAATAACTCATATGAAGAAGTTTATTGATCAAGAGTCTACATGTTTTCTTTTTTCAAACGGGCTGTGAGCTGCCAGATCCCCACCCTCCTGCCAGGTCACCACGTTGCCACTTGCTAATTTAGAAGTCTCCCCTTTTGGCCTCCAGAACCAAGCATTGCAGTAGAATTTGGGTGGTGGAGCTTTGTCACGGCTACAGAGGTTAAGTGACCTTATAGGACCCTACAGGGGTACCGAACTAGGATAGTCGAGTTCGGGTTCTGACCCACCTCTGCTGGCCAGGAAGCGATGGGATGTTCAACAACTTCCCCATCTATTCCACGACGCCGCCCGTCAAGCGAAGAGTTTCTGTCAAGAGCGCCTTCAGCGCTTGGCGCGCGTCGGGAGGGGGGGTGAGCAGCCCTGTCGATACCGCCCAGTTCGGTACAGTTCGAAGATGTTTCTTTGTCCCACTGAAGTTCCTTTTCACTGGAAAGAAACCTTAGGATCAGACCATTCCCTAGATATCCTGGCCCATCTATCTGGCCGTGGGTTACTTGGCCCAAAAAGACCCCGCGCTGGTTTCAGGCCGCACCGCGAAGCGCCCCGTGGAACGGACTCAGTGGGTTGGGACCTTTTCGGTGCAGATGAGAGACCAGAGAGACGATCCACTCCATCTGAGAGACCTGTACCAGGGAAAAGGACCGGACCAAGTGAAAGCTGGGAGGGGGGTCGGTGGGAAGCTGTGCAGGTGGTCGGACCGAGTGGTCGGAGCAACGCCACCCGGATGGATCGGGTCGTACCTTCTCAGAAGGTAGAAGGTATGACTGGACCCTCCTGGCACCTACATAAACAGTGTCTCCCAGGAGTTCACAAATAAAGGGGTGCCGGACGTTGGAGGAAGTCGGGGTGCTTTTGTCACATCCAGTCACTGGATGAGACTCAGTTGGGTCCAATCACCGTACCTGACCAGGTACCACTGGAGTTGCACCCCCGATCTACGGAGGGTCCGAACTTGGCACCCCCGGCGCCGGCCGAAAGCCTCCGACACGGTGAGTCGGGGTGTCCACTTTTGGGCGGGAGTGTCTGGTGCCTTGTGACTCCTGGCGGAAAAAAGAGGGAAAGAGTAAAGAAACATGCCCATGATATGAGGGAGATCAAGACTTGGCGAGTGGTTTCTTTCATACCTTGTGACTCTTTAGACGGAGAATATGGGTCCAAAAGCCCCAGTTCGGGATGAACGGACCATGGCGTCACTTGACGTAGCGTCACTTGGCGTTGACTACGTGGCGCCAGTCCATCGCGCCCCACTGGGGCCGCTAGGATCGACGCCGTGGACCTCCGGTACCCCCGGGCCGTCACTTGCACTCGTGTCACGTGTCGTCATGCAGCTGGACACCGAGTTCTGGACAGCGTCCGGTGCAACATCAACCTTTGGATCGTTTTCCAAAGGTGTTGGGCATTGAACCCTAGGGATCCAAGTAACCTCCTCAAAAGGTACTTGGACCCTCCAACCCCACCCCAAACACCTTCTCAGAGGGTACTTGGATCCTTAGGGGAAGAATGACCAACACCTTTTGGTGTGTCCCGTGACCGCGGAATAGCCTGTGTCGGTAGGACCATCCTGGTCGGGGTTGTCCTGGACTACCCGACTATATAGGCTTCCTGGATGGTCCAGGTAGCCTTTAACATGCCTTTATAACCATCATCATCCACAGGGCCCAGTGAATGGGATATACCCCAACTCTTGACTGGTGAGACCACGCCACCGAAGCTTACTCCCACCGTCCCGTCGTCAGTTTGGGCACCTTCCACTGGTCGCACCGGCCACGTCTTCCCGCTGACTTCAGCGCTTTGTCTTCCCTCTCCCTGATTCATCTTCTGAAAACGGTCCCAGGGCAGTTCGCAGGTCAGTTTTTCCTTCCAGACTATAGAACCATAGGCATAGACCGAACGAGGGCCCGGTTCCTTATTATAGTGGATTTGCGTGGGGATTTACTGTCAAGGAAGGTTGCACCAGGAAATGGAGCAGGAATGCTAAATCCATACAATCTTGGAGAAAACAATGAGTAATTTCAGGGAGAAACGATGTGAAACTCTGACAATCTATCAGTAATTTAGTGATAATATAGTTTTAATTTGGGGCAGTAAGTCTGCCTTGGCCAGAGAGAAGATCGCCAACTACAGGCGCATTCGGGCGGCTGCTTTTGGGTCTCAAGAGTGGGAGGGGAGTCGCCATGTCGGCAACTGTGCTGCCCATATATCATGGGCCTGCTGGAAGGTTTCCGCTCACCAAAATGTACCGGGTTGACACCCATGTGTTGTGGAGCATGCAGCCTGCTTTCGATGAAGTCTTTGCTTTGTGCAGGAGTCGGCACCTTCGATGCATGCGTTTTACTGGCAGAGTTATCCTAGGCTTTATAATAGTATAGCTTAGACAGATCGTTTAGTTGCTGTTTTTCCACCTTTCTCCTGAAGCACAGCCCCAACCAACCCAGGCAATACTTGAAGACCTTGGATGGTTCCCGGGGCCGGCTGGAAAGGCTACATGTTTCAGTTTTTGGTCTAAGACCAAAACCTTTGGCTTGGGCAGTTGCTGGTCAAGACTCAAGTACGTTTTACCTGCGATCCCTCCTATGATATTCCCATTGGCCATCACACTCCAGTGGTGCTGGCTTTTCTCCCCCAGCGTGCGCCAGGTTTGCTCTGAACGGCGGAGCCGCAAAGCACGACTGCAGCCTCAGCTGGTGCAAGACGCACTACTCCAGGAACAGATTGATGAAATTGTTGCTCCCACCGAATCCTTTGCTATGCAACTGCTCGATTGGAGCTTTGAAGAACAAAGGAAAAACGGAAAAACGCAGACTGCTTCAAAAACTGTGCCACTGGGACTGCAAACTATCAGAAACTCATTGTTCACACATCTTTCCACCATGCACCCCTTTTCAAGCTCCCACAAACACGTTTACTATGCAATTGCTTTTTTGGAGCTTGGAAGAACAAAGGGAAAACGCAAACATGCAGACTGCGACTGCAAACTGTGAAAGAAGGACTTGTTTCCACATCTTTTTCCCAACGCGCCTCCTTCATTTTCTTAAATAGCCACTTGTCACAGATCCTAGGGCTCAGCAATGCCTCCGCGACTGGGTGCAACCGTTGAGCACTGGGTTGGTTGACGTGAGCAGCATTACTGTTTGCCAGGCGCAAGCACCAACACAGAAACCTGCAGTACTTTCGGCTAGTGGCAGCAGCCCTTTTCACACATGACTCCCAGTTTTGGTTTCTTGCCAGGTGGCCGTCCCAGTGCACGAAGGGCGTGTCCAGCTTGAATCCGCTGCAGCAGCGCCTCTTCACCAGACTTGGTGGTGGAATTCCTGGCAAGCATGGCTAGTTCAGGCTTTGGATGCTGACAAGAGGCTTGATGAAGGTAATCGCCTGTTCAATTCGCACGCCAGGGCCTTGTAAACCAATTGTATGGCAGTGCAAACATGAAAACCTGTGTGCGCAGTGTTCCACCACCAGTCTAACGCCCTTACCTCTGACGCCTAGGCTGCCACGCTCACAATTGGTGAGTTCTTGCTTGCGCTGCTCCACCACTGGAGAGTCACAAACGCAGAGGACTCCAGGACAACATTAGCACACGTGCTGGACATGTGCATCACCAAAATGGAATCAGGCTATGGGCAGTATGGGCGAGGCAGCATGGCTGCATCGGCGGAAATCCATAGCGCCCGTGCTCCACTTGACCGGTCTTTGAAGGAAGCAGTTCTGTTCAAAGTCATGTTGGGGAAGTGCAAAACCATGGAAGACGCGCTGGAAGAGTCAGGGGTGAGCAGACACGCTGCCATGACTGTCCACCAGGCCAGATTGCTTTTGTTGAAATCATTCTTTATTAACAGACGAGAAGTTGTTGATAAAGACCTGCTCAAACACTTGGGTAGTATCTAGCGCAAAGAACTCACGCGTGTAGGGCCATGTCTTGCGCTGGCACAGGATCATTTGGCATGCTACCTGCGCCGGTTGTCCATCGAATTCGAAGGCGCGCAATACTTCCAGGCTGGCAAGCGCTTCATGGGTTAAGATGAGTTCGGCGCAGGTTGTTCATCGCTCACAGGTTAGGGCAACAAGTTCTTGCGATAATCACTGTCTGGCTATAGCTTCCAAACCCGCTGCGCAGGTGCTTTTTGATTGTGGACAACCCACTCCGATAAAGACTTTGTTCGCAGCTTGCTGGAGCCCAAACAACCAACTTGGAGCAGTTCTCCCTATGCAGGTGCACCAAGCCTTTCCGCATAACATGTTGCCAGTGTAGGAAAGTGTTGCAGGTCTCAGGTCAGCGCTTGCCATGTGAGATGTCCATATGTCCACCTCACCCTTCCACGCCGACACAGGCAACTTTCTCACTTGTCACCTGGTCAACTGCCTTGCATCTTGCTCAAGGGTGTGCGACTGTTGTGGGGGGCTGCGCTTACAGCATGGCAACAGGAGATCCTGTAGCGATAGCCCGCGCCTTCCAATGGGCGAAGGCTCTGCGACTTGCAGCTGAGCAATCGATTGCTGCTTGCATGATTGAAAAGTCAGCCATGATGGCTGGCCCAGGATGCGACACAGAGTTTTCTGGCGGCGCCGCTGGTTGGGAAGTTGCTGCCCAATGCATTCACCACAGCTTTCTGGAACATGGGTACGAGGCCAAGTTGCAGCCACTCAGTGCGTGCGAGCTTGGGCTGATCACTGATGAGTTATACTCATGTTGTTCATGTGGTTCCTGTTACTGTTGCAGCGTTGCGAAGTGTTTTTGGGGGGTTGTGTTGAGCACCTGGCCATTGGCCGTAGCAATCAACTTTTTCTCTTGCGTTCTGCGCTTGCCGGTCAGGAAATTGATAGGAAGATGCAGGCGGCATTGTCCCACAGGCTGCCGGCCAACACCCATGTATTCGATAACATCATGGACATTTTTGGGGATGGCCGCGCCTGGCAGGCAGCCTTTATGCAGAAAGGTTCATTTGCAGAAAAGGTGCACATGAAGAACCACGCCCCGTGCGTTCGAGAAGCCTACTGCGTGGCACACAGACAAATGTGCCCGTTGCAAACCTTTTGTTCAGCCCGTGTTGGTGGGACACCATGCCAAGACTTTTCCATGTCGGGCAACCGCCTGGGGCTGGCAGGCCCTCAGCTGCCACCTCTGCTAGCATTTGGCGCCAAGACGGAAGCCTTGCGCACCCCTGTGGTGGGGCTCGAATGTGTTTCAGAATTGCCAACGCATGTTGTCCATGATGCCTTTGGCCGGAACTACGACTGGCCTATGGCCAACAATTTGCGACCCAGCAACGTTGGCTTCCCTTGCAC